TGATTACTACATGGAAATATTATGTACATCAAAATGATATGATTGAAAAATCTAGATTACGCGCGGTAAACAATATTCTTGAAATTCTTGACATAAAAAAATGTTTATTCGCTAAGACGAGTTATTATTCCAATAATTTTATTTATATAATATATACATAGCAGCAAAATCACGCCAAAATAAAACAGTTGTAAATTTTTGTCTGTGTTTATCGAAATCGAGAAAGAAAAACATATTTTATAATAAATAAATGTAAATAATAAGATTACTGTCTCACATTGTATTTAATTTTCTTGAAATTCTTAATATCAAATGGTACATTTAAGTAACTTGAATTAAAGAAAACATTTTCTCAATTAAATAATGAAACGAAAATTATATCGTTTAAATGATATTATTTAAATCCGGTATCTATTCCATAACATGCTACTTCCATAACATGCTTCTTACCCCACTTAAGTTTTTCCTCCCGTTGGAGGGAGACTCGACGACATATAAAAACGTAACTGATACCGTCATCTGCTCAGTGTAAATTCTGTTCTCGTGAAGAAAACGTACAAAACGTCTTTACTGTAACTTGATAATTATTCAAGACGATTCAAACGCGGAGCTCAAAGTTCAATGCAACAACTGTTTATTGTATTCTTTGAAAGTTTTCTGGATTTTTTTGTTCGAGTGTTACGAATCTTGTCAGTTTCCTGAAGAACAAAAACTGGTCCGAACCGAATGTGATCGTTAGATATATTTAATTCCGTTAAGATAAAGGTTTGTATGGGCTCTTACGAATCCGCATGATCGTGTTACCAGTGGAAATCCTGTGCGTTCCAAAAAATCGTTAATGCTGCATTAAGCTAAACTCATTCAATGCAACGATATACTGTAAATAATTGTTTCTGTCATGTATATAAAAACATTAAACATTGTTGTTATCACTCTCTAAAATAATGTGCTGACAAATTTAAGTAATTTGTTTAGAATATATTAGTTGTTATTTTATAGAAAACGTGAGCTTTCTTGGTTCACATGAAATCAACAGTTGAATAATTATCTAAACTTTATTTAAACAAATTAGAAATACACGATTACTAAAATCGTTAAGTCATGCGAACAGAAAATACTATTTTATTATAATACAATTTCAAATTAGAAATTTTTGTTAATAATAATAACAATTTCAATGTTCTTTTATACTATTTGTAACAAATATGCGATTAGAAAAAGAAATTTCGTTTACAGAACCGCTTATTAATTAGTATGTATTACTCTAAAAAATCTATCGTAAAAAATTTAATATTTTCCTTTAAAAAAACATTTTTATCGATCTAAACTTTATTGTTCAAAAATTTGATAATAAAATAAACGACAAAATGATAATACAGTGTGTACAACAGTTTTGTAGTTGAAATTCGCATTATAATCAATTTAAAATAAACAATTCATTGGATGAAAATATGTCGCGAGTTAATAACAGTTAACTTTTAATAATAATTCTAATTAATTTGAATAATTTATTACTCACAATATCCATGATTCAAAGGCATTAATTCTAATCGCGACTCGTTGCTCTTATTAAAGATAATAGCATACATTTTTGAGATATTCGTCCCTAGCAAACCTGATCTTAACTTATCAGTAATATTTTCCAAGTGCGCCACGTGTTGTCGGTGAACGATTCAAAAATCCGCCTCCAGTCTACTCGAATTCCGCGCCGTAGTTGATTTCCCGGGTGACAAGGGATCACGTGACACGATCTCACCCGAACTACCGCTCGTCTCGACCGAGGTTATAAATATCTGCGGCCAGGAAGCGGGGACTCTCTTTTACTTTCAACACTGTACCATGGTGCGTTCGCTTCGCGATCTCTGCTATTACGTTCTGTGCTGTGCTGGTGTAAGGGTAAGGTAAGCTCACGCGAGACCAAAGTAGAGGGTGTACGAACCGAACAGTTTACCACGGCCGATTCCATCAATCAAACCAGGCGAATTAGTAACCGAAGTCACAGCACGTGACTAGAGACCAGCTAAACGAGAAGAAGAGCTCAGCTATCGGAAAGAAAATGCCGGAGACCGCTCACCACATGAATGGATACGCGAATGGGCACACACCGCCTGAGCTACAACAGGATACCAGTTTTCTTTTCACCTCGGAGTCCGTTGGCGAGGGCCATCCAGGTATTTACCTTATAAATCAGATGTTCGACTCATGACTCGGCCAAATTTTCACCTAACAACCTCCATATCACCGTGAGTCGCGTGTGCCGCCATGAAATTCTACCAACGATCGTACCCGCGTGCGCACGACCCTTTCTTGATTTAACACGTTCGCTAGCATGTCTATTTCGTTCGTAGCAGCATGGAAGCAAAAAACCGACTGCATGATTGTACTATTCGCAAGAATATTATTGCGTCCCGTACCTTGTTTGTCTTCGCTAATAAATGTAATTATTTCATTATTATGGCACGAAATTTTCGGGTCACGTGTCATTCAAACTGTACCCTACAATCCGTTCGAAAAGAAATGTATTTTTGGAAGCATGGGAGAAACAAGGTTGCTCACAATCATTTTCCACGAATCTTCAACATTTGTAATTGTGAACACGTGAGGAGAGCATAGCCATATTTTTGAACTTCGGCATGGATACGATTTCTTTAATTTGATCGTACCATGTGGTATCTAACGAGAATCTTTGTGGCATTCTCTATTAATATTTAATGTATAATTTTGATGATTTTAATTTGAATTAAAGTTTGGTTATAATAGGTTAGCGAAATAGTTTCGAAAAAATATGTCTTAAAAATAAAAGTGATCCGGCGTCGCCATGTGCTCAATAAGTTTTATCTCGAGAGGTTGAATTTGAAAATCAAGTATTATGATGTAATTGTTATTGAATCTTTTTTATTACTTTCCAAAGCAATTCACGAAGGTTTTGGTTATGTTGATATCGGCTTTGAGATATTTAAGGTTTCCGAGAGTACAATTCGCACGGAACTTGGTTGAGATTTTTCTATTTGTGGAGACATGCGGAAAGGCTTTTAGGCGGGCTTTTTAAATTGAGTGTCTATTAGTAGATAAATATAATAATAAAATGAATTTCGTTTACTTTAACGTATATTTGTTCATATTTCGCTTAAGCGGTTTCTATAAATTGTTAACAATTTACAAAATTTGAAGTTAGTTACTCATTAATATAACCTACAATTTCAGAGACTATTATTTCCATTTTCTCATCTTACTTATTGATTACATGTTACGTTTGTTCTGAGATAGATCAAATTAAATGCGATTAATTAATATTCATGACTTATTGATTTCCATCCTATGTTAATAAATGCTAATTTCTATTGTTTTCTAGAATTTCTTGAAATTCAATAAATCTTTAAATTTGTATTATGTAATTGAAGACTTATCTAAAATTAAATGTCTATTCATTATTATGAAATGGAATAAAAATTTACTTTTTATTAAATCGTTTAAATCTACT